GTGTGTGTGTGTGTGTGTGTGTGTGTGCGCGCGCGCGCGCGATATTATGCAAAGCAATGCAAACGATTTCATAATTCCCGCGGTCGCGATTCCGTCCGCCGACGAGTAGTATAAGTGCGTGACAGACCGGCCGTCTTATTACCACTCGTTGCCACTTTAGCCGCGTTCTGCGGAGCATCTCTGAAGAGGAAGCTTCCGTGAACTTTGCTCTCAAAGATGTTTGACCTAAATTCAAGATCGTCTCAATAGATAAGGAAAATAAGCTGTGGAACAGGGAGAGACTGTTCGAGAGCTTTGTACATGTAAAACACGTTTTGTTGAAAATACGCGATTATTAAATCTGTGTAGATGCAAGTTTCTTTTTTTTTTTTTTTTCTATTAAGCGCCGTTAATTCTTCTCTTCGGCGTTCTAACAACTTGCGAAAGAATATAATGAATTGTTTGTTTCGTAAAACAAACGGAAAAAAACAATTGCAGAGAAAATGACGACACGCAAATAAAGAAATTTCTTGGTATAAATGGCAAAAAAAGGGAGTTTAATAATCTTTATTTTTATATAATTTAATCTACAATAATTTTCACACTTTATTCGCATCTATTCTATCAAATAAACAACGTAGGAGGTACGTGTACGTAAAATAATATTTCAAATAAAAATTTATGACGTGACCGTGATCTAGTTGCACAAAAAAAAAAAAAATATCGGGAGACTGCGGCGCAATTTCATTACTAAAAATCGCTGAAATATAGAAGGATAGTTCGTGTGTATGATGTGTTCGGTACAATCCTACCGACCGGGATGACGCGGTACGTGTTGACGAATCGCGTTATAATCCGTTGTTGTGAAAGAGAAAAAACTGCATCGCGTTTTATTTACTTATTTTTCTTTTATCAACATCTGTTCTTTTGAGACGCAAAGTCTCGCTATTCTCGTCCGGACTTTTTATCGCGGAGAACCGTTCGTCCATTGAGAGATTGTAATTAAACCGTCTTCATAATGGGAAACTCGTAGCAAAGTTTAACATTCTCAAAGTTTTCACTGCGTTAATAAAATAAATCGTCCCAATTTCAGATTTCCTCCCGCTCTTAAATTTCGGTCGATCATTTGTGAACTTTATGTCGCAGAGAATCGCATTAAACAAGAACGATCTAACGAATCGTCGTCGTGTTTTATGGTGTATCGATAACGCACGTGAAAGTTCTCGTCTTTTTTAAAAAAAAAAAAAATTAACCGCTGCTGTGTTCACCGTCCCGTGTGCCAAAGGCTTCTTCTTTTTCTTCTTTTTCTCTTGCTTTCGAAAACACTTAAGGATCTGTATTACGAGTTTTCTCTTCGATAACGGAGAGATAAAAACATAAGTCAGCGCGCGGCAGAAGTTAGAGTCTCACTGGGAAAAGTCGCGGTCTCGGGATTTTTCCATTGCGCCGTCTAGTAACTTTTCTCATACTCGGGTGCTGCATAAACGCTAGCGAACATTTATAGGAAGAGGTATAATGTTTGCTAGGCAGAGAGCGGGGTTTTAAAGTTGTGAGAGAAGAGGTCGGTGGAAGTTTGATGAGACTGGAAGAAATCCCTCGCATGTTAAGCAGGTGCTCTTAGTTCGAATGGCATTTTACTTTGGAAGAGGTATTTGCTCGGGTACGTGTGAGTGATTGATTTGCGAGTGTGTGTGTGTATGTATGTGTAACGATGGATGCACGCGCGAAACTTGAACAACTATTCCCGCGGTTTGTGTGTTCCGAATATCTCGTGTGATTTGTTTTTATACTAGCACAGCACAGAGGCGCGCACTACGCGCACGCTATTATTATTTTTATTTCAACGTGCGTCAGTGAACACAACCTAGCTGTCACCGCGATGACAACTGCTATATACGTCTTACAAACCATATAATATACATATGAGAGATGTTAGAGGTAATGCATAAGAATCAAACTCAAAAAATAGTGAGAAGAAAAAGTGAAAAACCAACGTGACTTTACTTTAATCAGGTGTCTTTGAAAACGTGATTAAAGTAAAATCACGTGACAAAAAGGAGAAGACTCTGTGTCCAAACATGGACATAGTTTTATTGCGCTTTATGTGTATAACATGCGGTTCTATTCTGTTCACATCCTGACAAATTGAAATCATATCTTGGTTAGGTTTACAACTCCTGACAAGTTAGGTTAGGTTAGGTTAGGTTCATATTTCGATCGGTTAGGTTCGCATTCTGACCGGTTGGGTTCACATTCTGACCAATTAGGTTTACATTCTAACCGATCACAATCTAAGCAGTCAAGATGTGACCCTAACAGCTTAGATATGAACCTAACCGGTCAGAATGTGAACCTAACCTAACCCTAACCGGTCGAAGTGAACTCAACGTGTCAGGATATGAACGGAATGGAACTGCATGCTGTGGACG